GAAACCGTCCCTCAACAATGGTTTGGCTTTCCAAAAGTACATTTTTTTTACAGGAAAAGCTGAGTACATTCTTGATTTCTCTTCTTTTCTTTTTTGGTACCAGGAACTGAACTCAGGGATACTTAACCACTGAACCACATCCCCAGACATATTTTTATTTTTTTATTTTAAAAGGGGTCTCACTAAATTGCTTAGGGTCTCAGTAATTTGCTGGGGCTGACCTTGAACTTGTGATCCTCCTACTTCCTGAGCTACTGGGATTACAGGTGTGTGCCACTGCACCCAGCTATATTCTTGATTTCTTTTTTTTTAAATTTTTATTGTTGGTTGTTCAAAACATTACATAGTTCTTGATATATCATATTTCACACTTTGATTCAAGTGGGTTATGAACTCCCATTTTTACCCCGTATACAGATTGCAGCATCACATCGGTTACACATCCACTGTTTTACATATTGCTATACTAGTGTCTGTTGTATTCTGCTGCCTTTCCTATCCTCTACCATCCCCCCTCTCCCCTCCCCTCTTCTCTCTCTACCCCCTCTACTGTAATTCATTTCTCCCCCTTGTATTATTTTTCCCTTTCCCCTCACTTCCTCTTGTATATAATTTTGTATAACCCTGAGGGTCTCCTTCCATTTCCATGCAATTTCCCTTCTCTCTCCCTTTCCCTCCCACCTCTCATCCCTGTTTAATGTTAATCTTCTCCTCATGCTCTTCGTCCCTACTCTGTTCTTAGTTACTCTCCTTATATCAAAGAAGACATTTGGCATTTGATTTTTAGGGATTGGCTAGCTTTACTTAGCATAATCTGCTCTAATGACATCCATTTCCCTGCAAATTCTATGATTTTGTCATTTTTTAATGCAGAGTAATACTCCATTGTGTATAAATGCCACATTTTTTTTATCCATTCGTCTATTGAAGGGCATCTAGGTTGGTTCCACAGTCTTGCTATTGTGAATTGTGCTGCTATGAGCATCGATGTAGCAGTGTCCCTGTAGCATGTTCTTTTTAGGTCTTTAGGGAATAGACCGAGAAGGGGAATAGCTGGGTCAAATGGTGGTTCCATTCCCAGCTTTCCAAGAAATCTCCATACTGTTTTCCAAATTGGCTGCACCAATTTGCAGTCCCACCAGCAATGTACAAGTGTACCCTTTTCCCCACATCCTCGCCAGCACTTGTTGTTGTTTGACTTCATAATGGCTGCCAATCTTACTGGAGTGAGATGGTATCTTAGGGTGGTTTTGATTTGCATTTCTCTGACTGCTAGAGATGGTGAGCATTTTTTCATGTACTTGTTGATTGATTGTATGTCCTCCTCTGAGAAGTGTCTGTTCAGGTCCTTGGCCCATTTGTTGATTGGGTTATTTGTTATCTTATTGTCTAATTTTTGGAGTTCTTTGTATACTCTGGATATTAGGGCTCTATCTGAAGTGTGAGGAGTAAAGATTTGTTCCCAGGATGTAGGCTCCCTATTTACCTCTCATTGTTTCTTTTGCTGAGAAAAAACTTTTTAGTTTGATTTCTTAATTTCCATCCCTTCTTGCTTTTTCTCTACCAATTTTCAGAATTGGTAGAAATGTTTTAAACAGCAAGTTACTTTTGGAAGAACAAGTTCTAGGGGTTTATATCATAGTAAAGGGGTGATAGCTCACAATAGTCTATTATATATTTTATAAGTAACTAGAAGACAGGAGCTTTGAGGCTCCAAATACAAACTAATGATAAGGAGATGGAAATATTTATTATTCTGATTTCATTTGTGTACACTGTATACATGAATTGAAATAACACATTGTGTATCATGAGTATATACAATTATCATGTGTTAGTCAAACATCTAAAAAATTCTTAAGGAGATAGAGATCTTAACTACCCTGATTAGACCATTACACATTGTACATATATTTTGTATTATTACTGAGTATGTCATAAATGTGTACAGTTAATATGTACAACTAATAATAATAAAAGGTATCATTATGATATCATGGATTTAAACATATCTAATTTCTTCAACTCATTGCAAATATTTCTTTATTCAGATACTCTATTTAATCAGTCTTCTGTTGTTGGAAATATCTTTAGCTCTTTAAACAGTTCTAATAGTCTTAAAGATTTCCAGTATAACAAAATATTCCAGATTCAGTTCATGTAATTCCTGTTCTAGATTCCCAAACCATCTATTTCTCCAAGGATCTCTGGTTCTTTGAGCAAGAAATGATATTTAGAGATGACAATCTGGATGCTATATGAAATAGTGTTTACTAGAAGTAATTCAATTTTCAATATTAGAAGAGTTAAAAATTGAAAGGATGTGAACATTAATGTGGAGTATATGAAATTAACATCATGTTTAAGACTCCAATTTGCTAGGCATAAAAAGAATACTAAGAAAATTTGTGATGCTAGTGATTATTATTGTCTAGGAGTTAAGGTTTTGGAGAAATATTCTTCTAGCTTGAATGCAGATTTTCCCCAGTTGCCTTTACTTTGTATTAGATAGTTCCTTCCTCCCTGTTAGGGTGTTAAGAGACCAAGAACATAGCTTGTTTCATCCTATCTAATGAGGAGTGGACATGTGGACTTTCATATCCCCAGAGGCTGGGTGCCATGACTGGGTCAAGGTGATATACAGATAATGAGACTTTGGTGAAGGGTAATAAAGTCTTGTCTAGGAGTCTGACTATTTAGACTCATATCCTAGAATAAACATGCCTGATTCATGCTCATTTTTAACTGTTTTGTTCTATAGACTCCTTGATCTTTCTGTCTTCCTCATCTGTAAAATGGGTAGACCCTGTGTACATGAATCAATGTGTTGAGGCAGATGGTAGAGAAAGACAGTTAACTTATCTTTGCTAACAAGGTTAATGTGAGAGTCACTCAGATAGAAATAAAATATATGCACAAATTAAAATATTTAGAGTGACTGCATTTTCATCTCACCCCAGGGTGTGGGAGCTTGTTCCTGGCTATGGGAGCCAGGTATTTTGATGGTCACTATGAGTTCTCTGGGCCCAGCATCTTCCTTCTCTGTTATAGTTGGAATCTCCTTGATTCTTACTCCTTTATTGATCAGGTATGGATCTTGAAGTGTTGTCTAGAGAAGTTTATGTTATGCCATTATCATCTACCAAACCCTGGTCAAAATGATCTTATCTGACTTGATTGTTGGTCACTAAGTAGGACTCTGTGAGTGGGCCACAGCATGGCTCCTTTTAATGAAGAGGAGGAGGGCTGAAGGGGCCTGGAAGAGACCCTGGGGCCAGTCTGGAGATCTTCCACTGCAATGGAGATGGGCAGGAGAAGGAAATCCAATGGCAGGTCATCAGGGTTATCTGTTATTTTTATCTAACATCATTCCACCTCGATGAGATTTTTTTGTTTTTGTTTTTGAGAACTACCTTTCGCTTTTTGAGCATAGTCTTGTTTAGATTTCCATCTAAGGCCGGCCTCATGGCATACGCCTGTAATCCCAGTGGCTCAGGAGGATTTTGAGTTTAAAGCCAGCCTCAGCAAACAACTCAGTGTCTGTCTCTAAATAAAACACGAAATGGTAGGGCTGGAGATGTAGCTCAGTGGTCCAGTGCCCCTGAGTTCAATCCCTAGTCCCCTCCCCACCCTCTCCAAAAAAAAAAAGATTTCCATTTAAGTGTCTCCACAAAAGAAAAGGGTCAGTACATGATCTGAGCTAGGCTAGTCAGATGTTATCTTTCAGGAAATAAACCCTGAGGGGAGCAACCAAGACCCAACTAGCTGGAAAGCATCCATCTCAGTGGTGGAGATTCAGAGAGAGGGTCACAGAGCTCCTGTTCTCTACCACTGTAGAGCTGCCTGATTCTTGCCCTTACTGAGTCCACTCTTCAACTTTTCTTGCTGCCTTCAAGTGAATGTCCTTCTCTCTCTCCTTCTCGGCACTTACCTTAAGATGGCTTGATTTGTTTTCTGTTGTTTGTAACCCAAAATCCTAGCATAAATGCACTAATAAAAAGAACAAACAAACCTTGTTTACTACCATGATTTAGACTGTTCCCTTCTGCAGGAGCAGATATCTCAGGTACATGACTAAATGACCTGTCTGAAGGCACTTATACCTCAAATATTTCCTTTGGAACTTTGGAGGCCAGGCTATTTTTCTTTTAACTTTGCAAAGAATTAAGTGGTCTACCAGCTAATTCCTGAACAATGTGGACTTAAGGGGGAAAATCCTCAAACTAAACCCAAACAAACAAAATGGGATGGTGGTGTTACCTATTTCTTGTTCTCTATGTCTCATGTGGGTCATTGTTTAACTTCATGTTGCTTTATAGAACACATTCTCCTTTGTGGAAAACACTAAGATGCAAAAAGATGAAAACAAAGCCACCATAATCACCAGATAATTACTTTATAATATTTTGCTATGCTTTCTTATATATGTGTGGTCTTTCTGAGCACAATTCACAAAAATGGGATCATACTGTAAATTTAACTAAATATTATATATTTTATGTCATTGAACTTTTTGAGTATAATTTTACCAGCTGCATACTAGTCTAACCCTATTATTTATTATTTGTATTCTTAGTTAATACTTTGGATTTTCTTTAGAAGCATCTAAAATTAAGATCACTTTTCTCTTTTGAAATTGGTGTAAATATTGTCATATATTTATAGGTAAATATACCCATAGTTCATGCTAATGTCCAATATTCACAACCACTCCTTCTGATTGATGGTTGACTGTTCAGTGGTAAATAGAACAGGTGCTGTCTTTTTATGATTGGATTGTGGTTGCAGGAATACTGAAGAACTTGTCACACTAGAAGAGTTGTATAAAGGCCAAAATGACCTTAGCAACAGGGCCTTCTGTAAACTCTACCTCCGATAACAGGCTGTCCTAGGAGAATTTGCCTACGAGCATTTATTTTTATCAATTTATGTTAATCTGGTCCTTGTACTAAGTCCACAAGGTTATGCTAATGAGCGCTTTATGCTCCTGCTCTTCACAGAAGAACAACTTTCCTCAGCAGGTTTCGAAAAGTGTTTGGGACGTCTAAGCCCAGCAACCTACAAGGGGAAGAGGAACAAGACTCTGAGTGGTCATTTGATCTACTGAGATGCAAACACTCTTTTGAGTAGTAAAATCAGGTAAGAATGATTGCTTTCATCCTGGAGAGGGAGGGGAAAAAAGAATCATGAATTGTCTAATTGTTTTAGAGATGTTGAAAAAATCCTAAAGTTTTTATCTCATTTTCATAACTTTGAGAACCCATTGTGCCAAATTGTTACTTCTCACTGTCATCTTCTGGAAAACAGGGAAAAGGGATTGGCATGTCTGGTCTCAAGACAGGCATTAGTAAAATTTCCCTTTCAGTGATCAGAACTATCCCACACATTTTGCAAACCCTGTGTTCTATCAAAGCATTTCTTCGCAGATTCCTTAAGATGGTTTAGAAGAATCCATCATCAGTCAGAGTGACTGGAGAACCTAAAAACCTGTAGAATGTAATGAGAAGAAATACAATATGGTGGCTAGAAACTGGGTTCTGAATCCTGATTGCAGAGTTGGAAAAAAAATCTCATTTCTGCCACTTCTCGGGTTGAGACCTTGGGAAATTCTTCTCCTAATACTGAGCCTCAGTTTCCGACTCTACAAATAGGGATATGATGACAATGTTGGTACCTATCTCATAGAATTTCTATAAAAATAAGATCATATGTACCAGGGATACTTTTTCTGATCCTTGGGGTATAGTAAGTGTTCAGAATGGTAGCATTTATCATTAGGTTTCAAAACAGAGAACACTGTACTCCTGCCTGCCTTTAAAGGAAGTTTATAGGAAGCTGGTGCTGAACACCTGTTAGAGAGCCATATGAGAACTTCAGAACCCATTTTCTTAACCCATGCTTGAAGAAACCTGAGCAGTGATATGAGACTCCCAGGACTGATCCTCAAAAGGAGCAATTTGTGACTAAGGTGCTGACACCCCATGCACTGAGAAATGGCAAGAAATTAATGCATTCAATGTGGCCCATACAACCTTTGGTTTCAATCTGAGTAAGATTTATTATGCCTAGTTCATGTTCAAGGCTTTTTTTCTTTTCTTTTTTTTTTAAAGAGAAGTTATTATTTATTCTAAAAATTTATTTCTAAATTCTCAGGACACAGAACAGCCAAACAATGTTTAAAGGAATAAAGATGATTTCACTACCTAATTTCAAAACTTATTTACCACTACTTGAATTAAAAAGCTCTGGAATAGGCAATAAAGACAAATGTATATGGTAGTGGGTCCAGAAATAGGTATCCATGTATATGGTCAATTGATTTTTTTTCTTAGTGAAGTTCCCAAGATATTAATATGATAGAACAATTTTTAAAAAGAAAGAAAAAAGCAAATTAAAACAAAAAAATCTTAACCCTATTGTATGCCATTTTTAAAAAAATCACTTTAAATGAACCACAGGCTATGAGCCTTCTATAAGCCAAGATGACTGACAACATAAAGATTGTCTATGTTAAGTGTAGTCATGTGATAAGAAGCTGTGTACCAAACAGAGGTGCTATATAACACATTAACACATCACACACACACACATATACACACATACACACACATACATACACACACATACATACACACACACATACACACACACGTTTTGTTTGGCCATTTTTGCTCTGTTGAACTGATTACCACTGCTGACCTTCTATATAAGACAACAATGACACTTGATTTTGCATTTGAATTTTCGCCTTTTAGTTGGACTTGAATGACCTGTCTACCTCATGTGTTTCTCCACTCTGTTTAGCTGCCAGAATCACTGCCAACACATTAACATTCTTGTTAAACCACTTTAACTGACTTTACTACCATCTTTAGGGAAATTAACATTTGAGTGAGCACTATTTATTTTTCATTGATGATTAAAATCTGAATTTGAACATTAAGGCAGATGCCTCATCTGCCTTCAGAATGCAAATATACCTTGAGGAGCTGAGCCCATGATTCCGTCTTAAATGGTTCCAGATTACATAATGGTTTCCATTTATTCTGTATCCTATACAGGTTTAGCAGGCTAGAGAGTGCATGTCCCAGCTGCAGGAACACCAGCTACTGCTGTATTTTATGAACTATTTTAAAAGAAAATGTGAAATATCAGATTTATAAATGTAAGCTCTATTTTTACAGATAAACTATAAATGCATTTTTTTCCTTGCCATCTCACTCAAATTGAAACCAAACATTGTCTGGGCCACACTGAATGCATTAATTTCTTGCCATTTCTCAATACATGGGGTGGCAGCATCTTAGCCACAAATTGCTCCTTTTAAGGAGCAGTCCTGGGAGTCTCATATCACTGCTCAGGTTTCTTCAAGCATGGGTTAAGAAAAATGGGTTCTGAAGTTCCCACCTGGCACTCTAATAGACCTTTAGCACTAGTTTCCTGTAAACTCCCTTTAAAGACAGGGAGGAATATGGTGGTCTCTGTTTCATCAACCTAATGATAAATACTCAGAAGAAGTATCCTTTGTACGCGTGATCTTATTTTTATAGAAATTCTATGAGATATGTACCAACAGTGGAATGCAAATAGATTGTGTTGTGAAGCATTTGGATAACACATCTAAGCTTTTCAAAAACACTATTGTAATTGGTCTTGTCTGTTGTGGTCTGGGATATGGAAGCCATGGTAAATATGTTCTGTTTGCCATCCTTGCCACGGTCAAGATGAAAGCTAAGATGTTTTAGCCTTGAGAAGCTCAATGCGTATGAATTTTCACCCATGATTCTGTCTTTTTATTCCTCTCCATGTTTCTTCTCCCATTTCTGCTTTGCCTCAAGAGAAATGGCCAAGCGTACTTTCTCCACATTGGAGACATTCCTGATTTTTCTCCTTGTAATGATGACTGCCATCACAGTGGCCCTTCTCAGCCTCTTGTTCATTACCAGTGGGACCATCGAAAACCACAAAGGCAAGTGTCATGGGCCCTCTTAGATGCTCTTCCTCGGTCTTAATTATTGGGGGATACCAAGGTGAGAAACTGTATCTGCTGATAGTTCAATGTGTGCTTCAGGGAGATGGGATGGTCCTTTCCTTTACATTAATTATTCTTTCTGCCTTGATAGCAGTTTTTATCAAATTTACCTTTGTCCCTAAAGATACAGTTAAGAGACACGTGCACATATTTGCCTTTAGCTTTCCCATTAATCTATGCCCAGTTCAAGATTCTTCAAAGCCTGGTAATGTCAGCTTTTACCCCAAGTTTCTAATCTTTCTGTCTCCTTGTTGGCAGCGTCTGTTTTCTCCTGGAGACAAAACAAACAAAACAAAAAAGAAAAAAAGACCCCTGAATGTCAGTCTATGAAAAGCCTTAAGAAAGGGAGCCTCCAATTCAAATCCTACAGGCCAATCAAATTCTTCCACCAGGTTTGAGTGGAGAGACAGAACAGAGTGGGGGCAGGTTCAATTCTGATGAAGGGGATCCATAGCTTGTTGTGCTCTTTGTCATGATACGGCATGGTCTCAGATCTCCCAAGTTTTCAAGAAAAGCTGGAAATTGAGATTTTTTTTTAAGGTGTCTCTGATTTTTTTTTGTATTTGATATTGGAAACAAATTGAGTTTTTGAAAACTATAAAAAACTATATAGGCTACATTTATAGGCAATCTTAGCACTGTGTTCCATCCAGGTTTTGGTGGAGTCTCTGCTTCCATGTTTGGTAACATGCCTGTTAGGCGATGGAGAGTGTGGGGAGGAGCGATTCCATGCTTTGACCAAAGTAAAGAGAGGTCTGTCGCCAGGCAGAATGGAAAAGCAGATGGATGGTTCACTTCCACTTTCCTTTTCGTGGCCTCTTCTCTTTTCTAGAGTATTCTCTATCATGTTCTGTTGCTTTGAGTTCCCTGTGGATTCAAAAAAAAAACAGGTATCCTCTATTATAGCAGTAGCCAGAGTGGGGTCTTGCTCTGCTAGAAATGAGAGGATCCTTGGGATTTATTTAAAACCATAGATTCTAACTCCACCTAGGATTTGGCCACAAGAGCATCTGATTCTGAGTTTGAGAATCTAAATTGGACCTGGGATCTACCGCATGTTCACTGTGAAATCTTGGTAAAGTCACTGCTCTGAGTTTCAGTTTTCTTATCTGTAAACCTGAAGAGGTTGGACTTGGTGATCTATGACTGTTTTTGGTTCAAAAATTCTGGAATCCCAAAAGATGTTAGCTATAAATCTCTAGCCCAAGAACCTTCTGACCACTAACACTTTGTGACACCAATATTTGCAATCTTGGCTATTCCTTGGCTATTGTCTGGGGGTTGAAACAAAAAAGAAAATGTATATGAAAATGTCTAAATATGTAAGGAAGACCAAAGCTATCTACCAATCATTGCTCTAAATTTTAAGAATGTAATAATACCGTTGTTGTTCCAAACAACCGTAGGAAGAGGATACTATTATTGTCTACATTATGTAGTTGAGAAAATTGAAGTGAAATAAGTTAAGCAAGGTATTGCATTAGTAATAGGTAGAGTCGGGTTTCAAAACCAGGCAGTTAGTTTTTGATCTAACTAATCTCTGTGTCATTCTGGCTCCTTTGATAATTCATATGTGTTTGTGTATTAGAAATACATGCATGCATGCATTAATATGGTATATTAATGCATGTGGATAAATAGATGTGAACATAATTACAAAAAGGTGGAACTATGTCAACAAGCATACAGGATCTGGGCTTTGAAAGGCCAAGGAGGACCAGGGCAGGGTAGAGATATCTGGGTGGCATCCTGGAGGAGCTGAGCTAGATCTAGGTGTGATGGAAATGGATCTGTTCTGAAGCAAGTGATAGAGACCAGTTGGCAGAGAGGAAAAGAGTGAGAGGTCTGAATGGAGAGAATGGAAGAAAAAAATCCCCAGAAGTTGGATTTAGCGAATCATATGAGAGGAGCCTGGTTCCTGTTTTGTTTGGCAGGGACATAAAAGCAGGGACAGTGAGGGCAGCAGACAACTGTGACAAGGAAAAGCTCATAATGACATTTCACAGAGCCTCTATTTGTTAGTCTGAAGCATTGCCAACCCCTCCCCCACCCCTCACCCCCCAAAAAAGATGCTGCTTAGAATTATGATCTCTATTTCTTCTGTTTTTTTTTCTCATGGTGTATCTTATATATAAAAAAAAAAATAAAGATTTTTTTCCTTGGGTACCTGAACTTATGTATTCTAATGGATACAGACAAAAAAAAAGTGGATGAAATGTTGTTTCTCAAATATCTTATCTATTTTAGATTCAGGAAACCATGGTTTTCCTACCACCCAAACCTCTCCAGTTACGCAGGACACCATAGCCACCCAAGCCTCTCCAGTTACTTGCACCCCAGAGCCACCTCTATTTCAGAACTTCAGTGGCTACCATATTGGTGTTGGGCGAGCTGACTGCACAGGACAAGTAGCGGATATCAATTTGGTAGGTTAATGATGGGCTTTTTAGGGAGGCTGTGAAACAAATAATTTTATTATTTTGCATTGTACGTTCATTGTTATCTTCTTCTAATCTTCCTATTGCCTTTGGTATTGTTTTTTTTAAATATTTTTAGTTGTAGTTGGACACTATACCTTTATTTCACTTATTTATTTTTATGTGGTGCTGAGGATCAAACCCAGGGTCGCGCACGTGCAAGGCAAGCACTCTACCACTGAGCCACGACCCCACCCCCTTTGGTATTGTTTAGCATTGGAAATATGATCCTATAAGGAAGAGGGAAATTTTTGTTCAGTCACAAGTCCTTTGTAAAGTCAATTATCAGTTCTACGAGGTAACTGTGGGCTCAGAGCTATCTAATTTAATGATTTTGTCAAAAGAAGCCAAAATATCTCTGAATTGAAGATTTGAGGCTTTCAATCTCTCACTCGAAAAACATAGGCAACTGTAGCTGGAACTGTAAACTTAGTATGAGCTAACACCAGGTAAGCCAAATAAAATACTTCTATAGGTCAGGAGGGGCCTATTGACTGATAGCATGCAAATTCTTGGCTATGGTGGTAGAAGTACCTATTTATGGTTTTTATTTTTTGTCTTTCTGAAAGAATTTATTCTCCTATGCTTGTGCCTAAGAAACCAGAACATGAATGTCCGATGGGATTTGCTTCCTGTTACCAAGTAATTTTTATATTCTAAGAGTTATTCCCAGCTGTCTCTTCTAAAAAGTGACTTGGAATGGGAACCCTAAGTGAACACTCTAATGAGAGATAAAGTTAATGGTAGAAGGGGCATTCTGAAGGTATGGGTGTAGTCTTTACAGGTGGGTTTTATGAATAGTGACAAAAGGAGCTTGGGATAGATGCCTGTGATCTGACTTGGCTTTGCTTAGGGAGAGATAACATGGTAAAAGCCGGGGTGAAGTACCTCAGTAAAGATAACTTAATCATAAAGATACCATTATCTTCAGAGGAAAAAAAATCACACACCAAACAACGATTGTGAGACAGGCAGGCTCCAATCTTCAGGATGTTCCTGAACAATGTCGGGTAGAGGTACAGAAAATATTTCCTTCTTTAGTACCTTAAGCAGACAGACGAAAAACTTTCATTTTCAAGAACAGAATGGCTATCAAAGGGTTTCCAGTGTAGAAATGGAATTCTTGAGCCATACTAGCTCTTTCCTTGACATGCACCAGTGAATGTTTTCTGCCTTATTAATACATTGCCTTTACATTTGAGTAGAAGATTAAAGTCACTATTATGATTTTGGCTTTATTATTTAACATTTTTTTTTATTATTTGGCTTTATTATTAACAAATTATTCTTGAAAACACATTAGTTATCTCACTTAGAGCTATGGGTTCATGTGGTTTTTATTTTTTGTCTTTCTGAAAGAATTTATTCTCCTATGCTTGTGCCTTCTTTCCATTAGTAGGTGAGTGGGCTAGCATGGCTCTCATTCTCCCCTTCTCTTTAGATGGGCTATGGCAAATCTGGCCAGAACGCTCGAGGCATCCTCACAAGGCTGTATAGTCGTGCATTCATCATGGCGGAACCCACTGGACCAAACCGACGAATAGTGTTTGTCAGTGTTGACATAGGCATGATATCCCAGAGACTCAGGCTGGAGGTAGGTAATTGAAGGCCAAATGAAATGATGTGATTTAAAGGAAGTCTGGGTGAACAAAACATGATGGCCTAAGCACTCTTGGTTTCTCACAGTGAGCCTCTACCATCAATAGAAGCTCTCATCCAGCAGACAATCGTACAAGAATGAGCCCCATTATTGAGTCTAAGTCATCTTGATCAAAACTCACTCTCAGTTCTGCAGATGTCTTGTCATTAAGAATGTTAATATTTTTTGAAAGCTTATTATATTCCAGGTGACTTTCACATATATTCTTTCACTAAATCATTCCTCGTTAGAAGTTTGAGAGCATCGATTCATCACTCATCTCTCAAGTTCTCAGACAATTGAGAAGGCATGCAAGGAGTCAAATGAGAATTAAAAGGCAACATTGAAATGAGGTTAGCTATGGGTTGGTAACTGTAGAAACTGGGTGATAGGCACAGGGAGTTAATTATATTATTCTGGTCATTTTTGTATGAGTTTGAAAATTTATATGACAAATATTATAAAAGAATATAACATCAGCTCTATTAATCTTTAAACTGTATTGTAGAATATGGCAGACTTTTCTGTGATTTTTTTCCTCCCCAATTTAGAACTTGTTACCTGCCTGTGGGGATAATTAAGCTTAGCAAAAAGTTACATGGTGTCCTGGGCTGCCTGAAACATATAAAGATTAGAGAAAGAAAAGGAGAGGGAGGAGCAGAGAGGGAGAGAGGAAGATAGGGAAGGAAGGAAAAATGGGGCAGAATAAAATGATGGATATTAGAGTTCCAGTTCTATCTCTTGAAGTACACTTTCAAGCTTTTGACCCAGTGAAGTTTTTTTTCATAAGATCAGGTCACAATGAGTGAATGCTCTATTCAGGTCTGTTCACATAGTCATGAATGTGAGAAAGAGGAGAGGCTGGAGCCCTGGCCAGAACAATGACTGTTAAGTGCTGGTCATGCAGTGCCATGTTCTGTGAGTCTCCCCTGTGCTGCTCTGGCTGTGTGAAGAGGCCAGCCAAGGGGTGGTGAGATGGTCTAAAGGCACTGTTCCAATATCTCCCTCCCTGGGGTGTAGGGTGGGAGCCTCTCCCATCTCTGGAAACAGGAGGGGGCATTGAGTGTTTTCCTCCCTCCTACATTTAACAACAGAACTCAGAGGTGGCTTTGCTGTTGTCCCCATATCATGGATAAGGCAACTGAGTCTCAAAGAAGGTAAGTAACTTTCCAAAATTCAGACAGTTAGCAAATGTGGGATCTGGGTTCTGAACACATGTGTGCCTAATCCCAGAGCCCATGTCTCCCAAACCCACCTGAGAAGTTGCCTCCTATACCTGAAGGGAGGTGGAAACTCTGCGGGGAAGAGGGATAAGGGATGCTGATCACCTGGGCCTTTCCTAAAGAGAAATCAGCTCAATTTAAGTTATGAGAGAGGAAGGACTTGGAGAATTGACTTTCCTGATTTCAAGAAAGGTCTGGCTTGTGACTCAAAAGGGAAATGGGGGCAAGGAGCTCTTGCCTGAGATCCCTCTCCCAGTTTCTCAGGTAAGAGGCTACCTGCCTGAGTGCCAAGAGCTCCTATAGACCGTGCCAACCCATTCACATCCACCCATTCATCATCCATTCATCAGCCTAACAACTGCCAGCCTCTCCATTTATCTATTCAATCACCATCCATCCATTTATCCACCAACCACCCATTCATCCATCATCCATCCATTTATCTACCATCCATCCACCGTATTCCATCGATAGATTGATGGATCCATCCACCCATTCATCCATCATCTATTCATCCAAGAACCCTTGTTCTTAAAAGACATTATTATTTTAGAGGGTGAAATATGCTGACCACCTGCTTTAAAGACATTATTATTTTAGAGGGTGAAATATGCTGACCACCTGCTTTTTGTAAGCACTTTGCTGGCCACTACAGGGGACACACAGCTAAGTGAGTCATACTCATGTCCCTTATGTGTTCACCATCTAGTTGGGGCATAAAAGGAAGAGTATTTTCAGTAACACACATTATTCTCTGGAGTAAAGTATACTGGTATATTATTTATTGATTACTGTGTAATAACTTATCCCAAAGCACAGTGATTTAAAACAACAAACATTATTATTCCACTTGGTCTGTTGGTTAGGAGTTCCGAACTGGCTTGGCTCTGTGGTTTTGGCCTCAGTTTTCTTGCAATCAAGATGATGGCAAAGAATGCAGACATTTAAGAATGAGCCTTGGGCTGGAGTTGTGGCTTAGTAGTAGAGGATGCCTAGCATGCACGGGGTCCTGGGTTCAATCCTCAGCACTACGTAAAAATAAATAAACAAAATAAAGGTATCGTGTACAACTAAAAAAAAAAAAAAGAATGAACCTTAAATTTAAGGATCAATTTGGGATTTGAATTCTCATTGCAAGATGGTTCACTCCTGTGGTTGTTGGCAGAAAACCTCAATTACTCACTCCATATTCTGATGGATTCCTTTGGAGGGAGTATCCCAAGAGAAAGAACAAGGAGGAATCCACAGTGCCTTTTATAACCATGTCTTATAAGTTACTATTACTTTCACCCTATTCTATTAAGCAAGTCACTAAATCTAGTTCATACTTACAGGTGGGAAAATTAAGCTTTAACTCTTGTAGGAAATACTGAAGAATTTTTAGAATATGTATAGTATTTTAAGATCAGCACAAAGGGATTCAGGAAATGGTAATTATGAAGACATTTTCATTGTGGAAATGACATTTGAGTGTGCAGAATTTTAAAAGTTTACAATGAGAGATGACATACCATATGGAAGGGACAGCATGAACAACGAGATTTGAAAGGGAGAGACAGAGACTCTCTTCTGAGGGAACAGAAGAATTCTGTTAGGACACATGGAGTCAGGTCTTAAGATGTATCTGGATGGTGTGTTGGCTGTAATGTGGAAGGCCTGGGAATGCAAGGTCTTTATTTTTTAATTCTGGGAGTGTTGTGGAATTTTATAAAACTTTTGAATGGTAATATAAACACTATTTTGGTTTAGGATGATTAATCAGACAGTGATGTTTGATATGGATTGGAATAAAGTGGAGCTAGAGATAAAGACATAAATTAGCAGACTTTAAGGTGCTTTTTTTAGTTGTAGATGGACACAGTACCTTTTTTTGTCTATTTATTTTTATGTGGTACTGAAGATTGAACTCAGGGCCTTGCCCAGCTAGGCAAGTACTCTACCACTGAGCCTCAGCCCCAGCCCATCAGATTTTTAATATTGAGATTTTATTTGTAAGAGTCCAGTTAGGAAAACAGTATCATACTAGGTATTTAAAACAGAGGACATTTAATACAGGGGAATTTTACAAGGTGTTGGAGGATTGAAAGAGATAGAAAGAGAAATTAAGGTGGCAGAAGGGTTTTTAACATTGCCTGACAATTTCTCCTATGTCATTTGAGGTTGGCACAAAGATCTTAAACCAATGAGGTGACAGTGAGATTTCATGTGGGTAAGGGATGAAATTAAATGCTTATGAGATTTGGGGATGAATAGACATAAAAACTAACACATAATAAGCCAGGTACTGTTCTAAGTGCCAGCCTTATATTTTTATATATGAATTCATATATGTGTGTGTGATATATATATTATATATATATATAGCATTATATATATTTATGAAGAGCATTATGTATATGTGTGTGTATATATATATATATATATATATATATATATATGAAGAACAATATATAAAACATTTTAACATGGAACAAAGTTTGTATATATAAACTTGTTTAATCCTCTAAGCAACTCTATGAGAGAGTACTGATGTTATGTCCTTAGACAGACTGTGAAGCTAAATTGTAGACCATCAAGTAACTTATCCAGAGTTACACAGTGAAGAACTGTCAGAGCTGGGATTTGAACTTTAGGCATTTTGGTGCCAGAGTTATTATTATACTATACTACTTTTCTAAGGAACTAAAGAAAACAGAAGAGTCAAAGGTAGACTTTGGGGCTGGAATGGTGAGGGGAGAGGGGCTTAATGTGTTGGTTTATAGATGAGGTCATGTCATAGTGGGTACCATGCAACATATCTTCCTATTTTTATTTTTCCATGCAATCTGAGACCCAGTGGGAAGGCCTTTAAATAAACCAACTTAGTTATTCCATATTAACTCAAAGGAAGGTGTGAAAAATAAAAGTAGCTATATAAGTGCCATTAAGCTTATCTTTAACACCTGGTTTGAGGTAGGTTCTCCATCTCAGCTTCAAGACTAATGACATTTCCAGCATGGAATGAAGATTAGAAAGGATCTCTGAGCAGTGAGGCAAGGCAGGAAAACGGAATGACTTTCTAATAGTCTATATCATTCTCTCAAGAGTATCTGGGATAGGAAACGAAATGGGAATGGAAGACAAAGAAGTCAGCTACATACATTAACATAACTGCATTGTTCTATATTAAAATACCCTTTCTTTCAAGAAAGGGCAAATGTGCTTGTAATAATGGTTATTTGCATGCATGATTATTCTATTATTATTTCATATATTTTATTTTCCCTCAAAGTCCTGTGGGTCTGGCTTCTTACCAGAGATTATGATTTAGGAAAAGGTACCTGCAGTCGTGGGTGTGCTATTTGTAGCTTTTTTTGTTCAAGATTCATTGTGTGTGTGTGTGTGTGTGTGTGTGTGTGTGTGTGTGTGTGAAGCTGGGAATAGAACCCTGGTCTTCAGACATGCTAGGCAGGTGTGCCACCACTGAGCCACATCCCCATACCTCATTATTACTATCTTTTTAAGAACTTGATTCTTGAACAGAAATGAATTAATACATTTAATTCTAAAATCCCAATGTTGTAGTCTTAGGAATAAACTGAGTGGGGTTAGGGAGTTTTAAAGTTGACTTGCAGTTCTACTTTTCTATTACCTTCCTGTCTTGGTGCAGAATTTCAAGAATTTCAGCCTTTGACTTTAGTTCAGCTTGGTGGTGTCCCTTCATCAATTATTTCCTCTTCTCCCAGACATTTTTTTTTCTTCTGCATGGTGTGGTAGTTACTGTGCAGAAGCATTTGTGGAAGCAATAGGAGTTGAGGTTGGACTTAGGGTGAAACAGAAGGAATACAAACTCACTGGGATGGAGGATGAGGGCTGCTTGGTTAGAGGGATGTTAGTTGCGCTCTTTCATATTTCCTTCCCATAATTGCTGCTTCATGCTTCAGTGTTGCTTATGTGGACATGGTAACCAAACAATTGTTCTTTGGGGTATGGAGATGTTAATGAGGCAAGATAGTGTGCAAGATATTCTTTATGCTTTAATGACCACATGGGTAGAATGAGTAGCATCACTCTTCAGTTGAGGGAGAAGTTGCATGGCTGCCTTCATCTCTGTTAACTATGCAGTGCATAAGCTGCTACTTCCCTGTGGACTAGTGGTGTTCTGGAAGTGGATTGCACCAGCTCATGAGAGATTGTTGTTAATTGTTAAGGAATGTTGTGGTTTGGTTGTTAAACTTTTGGCAGTTTTAAAATTGACCATGGTGGGAGCATTGACACCACAGAAATCGGCAACCACATATGAGGGCTTCCCCGCTTCCCTAGAGAGATGGTTTATCAGACATTCTATGCCATATTCAAGGTAAACATTGCTAATGGTTGCTTTGGGTTTGACACTTTTGCTGGATCATTTTCGTATTTTTCATAAAGGAGCCACAATAACACCAAACTTCAGATTGCAGCTGATTAAAGCACAATCAGAAGTAGGTACTCAGCAACATCATCAATTTTCTGTTTTCTTGTTGCATGTGCACCATACAAAGACACTAGTCATGCACTTGCATATTAATTGACTAATTCAGTGAACATTTACCAAGAATCTTTATCTTAATTGTCTATTGCTAAAAAACAGATCATCCAAACCATAGTGGCTTAAAGCAGTAATAGTCATGTATTACCACAGAAGGTTTCTGTGGGTTGGAAATCCCAGAGTGGCTGGGTCGGGCACCTCTGACTTGTGTTAGAGCAGAAGTCACACATTATTTTTTCTGTGTTGTGGGGTGGCACACAGATGTTGACTGGGGCTGCAGTTGTTTGGAGACTTGCCTGAGGTTGAAGAAATCTTCTTCTAGCAAGTCATGCTGGTAAGATGGTTCTTCTTCACGTGGACCTTTCATGAGATTACTGGGGTGTCCTTACATCACACTGGATGACTTGCCTTAGACCAGTAGATGTAATTCAGAGATAGTGAATTCTCCATCTTGCAAAGTGATGCAGTAAAGTAGCTAAGAGGCCTAGCCAAGTCTCTTCACTGTGCCTGTAAGGCTTCATGCCAGATACTACATGGCTAGCTTCTTTCTCCAGGTAATCCTCTGCTAAAGAGCACCCCTCTTCAGAAAGGTCTTTCCTCACTAACTCCTGCCACTTTCTTTTTTCTTATGCATCAATGTTTCTTTTTATAACATTTGTCACTGTATGACATACTGTCACATATTTATTTTCTTGTTTATTATCTTTCTCCTTCATTCGAGTAAAAACGTCTTCAAGATAGGAATTTGCCATATTTCATGTGCTCAGAGCAGGTGCCTGAATGTTAATGCTATGTGTTGAATGATGAATGGTTTAAGAATACTGGCTCAATAGTCAGACTCAGATTTGGAGTCTGATTCTGCTACATTTTAGATGGGTCAGAAAATTAATTTCTGGAAGGTGCCTCTGCTCACCACTCTCCTACCAATGAATTATTTAACTTCTGTACCCTTCAGTGTTCTGAGTTAAAAAAAAAAGAGGTCCACAATACCTACTTCTTGGGATTGTTCTAAATATTTTCAAATGACATTATATATATATAATACCTAGGATTGTGCTTGCACATAGCAATCTATAAAATGTTAGCTATTGCTATAGCTGTTACTGTTGTTCTCGTTATTGTTACTATAATAGTAAACAGAGTGGGGCCACATGAAAGGGGTATCAAAGGGATGGATCAGTGATTAAACTCAGGAGACGCTTTTCTCATGCTGAGTTTGTATGTTATCCCCTTTGTTGGTTCATTTTTCTTTTTTTCCTAAAGGTCCTGAACAGACTGCAGAGTAAATACGGCTCCCTGTACAGAAGAGACAATGTTATCCTGAGTGGCACTCACACACACTCGGGTCCAGCAGGATATTTCCAGTACACTATATTTGTCATTGCCAGTGAAGGATTTAGCAATCGAACCTTTGAGTACATGGTCACTGGTATTGTGAAGGTAGGCAAAGAGTCCCCAAGGCAGCTGTTCCTGACCCTTCTTACCTGGGTTTTAGGAGTGATTTGGCGTGACACAGAGACTCCCTCTAGGATCCAGGTCTGACATAAAAGTGTTAGTGCCTTTCTATCTTTCTCCTTCCTGACTCTCTTTGGCTTCTGGTTCTGAGCCACAGACTGTTAGGCAAGAGGCACTGATTGATAGGAACAGGAGGCTTCTATGGCAGTAAGCCCCAAGCCATCTAAAGACAGAAAACACTTTGTTGGTGACTCTTATAAATTATAAGGCCTCACATGATCTGTTCCCTGCACAGAGTCACTGGAAGAGGAACTTATCAAAGAACTACAATTGCAAATAACTTAATATTTCTTTATATGTCTCAAAGAATGAAGAGGATACAATTGGTAAAAACACATCCTCATTCTCAAGTCTTCTTCAGCAGAACCAACCCCCCTGGGGACTTCTCACCAACACCCTCAAGCTCCTCACCATTCCTAGCTCAAATGCCTTGTCCCCGCCCTCCCCTGTGCTCCGGCTACTGTTTGTGCACAGAGGTCTTGTGTATGTTGTTCTTCCTCCCTAGGCCTTCCAGGTTTAGTCTCTACTTTTCCTCACAAAGTCACCCCAAATTTCATCTGGCAAAGGCAGAATTTTCTTTACAACAGTGTTTTTCACACTGTGGCTAGCAGTGTGTTCATAGCTTGTAAAATAAATTTTGGAGGTGGCAATAAGTGTTACATGCAGAAGCACTTCAATAGAATAGATGGGAAAATATCGCAGTACATGACCCACAGTGAGGATAGAGTTTGTCTTATGTACTTTTGTCTTAGGGTGCATATGTTGGTTTGTAATAAGTTATGATGAAAAATGTATCTCTCACTGTGGTTTCAGTTAAAAAAAAAAAAGGAAAAACAAGTTTGAAAAACTGCCTTAGAGGGTGGTGGGATGGAGAGGGCAGAGAGGGTGGAACACTTGTATGTTAACAAATCATGCCCCAGTGTCTTGGGAGTCAAGTCTGCTATATTGGCCATTTAAATGGCAGTCCTGAGGGCAGAGGTCACAAGAGCTAATGGACACTCTTCTTACCTACACACAGCACTTCCTCTGTCTCAGCCCTGAAGGCCCTATCTGTTTACCTACAGATGACAACAGCCATGTGGCTGTTCAGCTTTTAACCTATAGTGGGGACACCTTACAAAGGAAATTGTTTATAGGGCTCTTCTTTTACATGGATTAAGTCGTCACCTCCACCAGGATGTCGAAGCTTACAACTCCCTCTTCTTCCTTCTTTTAACTTTCAGAGCATCGAGATAGCACATGAAAATATGAAACCAGCCAAAATCTTCATCAATAAAGGAGATGTCGAGGGTGTGCAGATCAATCGAAGTCCTACATCTTACCTTAGGAATCCACAGTCAGAGAGAGCAAGGTGAGGGAAATGATCAAAACAGCATCATTGCATTTCCCTTGAGAAAAGCCACAAAATCAAAAAGTTGTTATTGGTGGCCATGGTAGGATCCTAGGAGAGTATGAAAGCTAAAATAATTTTAGAACATGTTCATCTAGGGCAAGCAGAAACAAAGAGTGAATATAATAATGAACTCCCAATATTTTCTTTTCATATATTTCTGTCCTTTGTTGGCGTAGGGAGCCATGGTAGATGTCTAAAGTACTCTGGGCTGTGAAATCAGGCACAAGTATTCAACTTAGCTTTATCACTTCCTAATTGTGTGGCCTTTAAGAATTTACTTAATTTATTGACTCTTAGCTTTGTCATCTGTAAAATGGAGACTAAAATGTGCATAACACATTTTTGTTAAATTAAAAAATAGCTGTTTTATTATGTGTTATGTAGAAGGAATCATCTAAATTCCTCAGAGTGGGGCAAGGGAAAGAAGATTAAAACATAAAAATAAAAAAGAGAATCTGGAAGGAAAAGCAAGAAATGAAACCAACATAACTAAATTAAACATCTAAAGGAGACGATTTTTTTTTAAATAGTTGGTTACAAGGTTGTAACAGAAGAGAAGTACTTGGCTGCTATGGCATTGTACAACATCTGTTTCAACTTGACTTTGACATTTTATATTTGTCTGCATATTTTTCAATGGCTTTCAGAGGTATTGATTTTTAGAAACTAAAATCTGATTTTCCTTGAAAAGACATAAAGGAACACTTAAGTTGCAGGTATTGAATGATTTTGGTTTTGTATACTCCTGCACATTCCAAGAGATTCCATTAAAAGTTGATAAGTAGAAATGTCAAAGACAAATCATTTTCTAAAAATCATTTTCTATATGTTATATAATATTACATCTATTATATAAAAATATATAGTTCAACTCTGGTCAGTTTACTTAGTCCTCCTAAGGTCAATCATGATTACGAACCATTTCCTTACTGAAGAGTGAGGTACTGGATGGGGTTCACAGAACTGTTGCTTTTCAAGGAATATCACTGAGGCATTTTTTTTCCAGCTTTTATTATTTGCCATACATGAGGGCCAGTCTTTAACATAGAACTAAGTATCTTTATTTTACTGACTAGGTATTCTTCAAATACAGACAAGGAAATGCTACTCTTGAAAATAGTGGATTTGAATGGAGATGACATGGGCCTTATCAGGTACTCTATTTTCTTTTTCTTCTTCTTCTTCTTTTTAAATGTGTCTGGAGATCTTTCCTTAATTACCGGGAGAAAAAAGAGACTAGAGTAGTACCCATAGATGCTGAAAAAAAATATGGGGTTAAGAGTTCAGGCTTGGAATGACGTCATATACAACTGGGGCCCAGTCATGGAGCTTTGGGCAAGGTTCTCAGTCTCTCAGGGCTTAGTGTGTGGCCTGTAAATTAGGGCTGATATAAGGATGACCCAGTGAGGAGTCTTGGTGAGGCGCTCAGCATAGCTTCTGGCACAGGACATAAATACTCAGTAAATGTTGGTGTTCATTACTTCATCAGATGGAAAGCTTCTATCATGTGGACAGTTATTTCTTGATAAAATAAGAAAATAACCTGACCAATCAGGCAAGTGACTACGGGTTTAACACTTTTTATATTTTCCTAAGAGGATCAAATCTAATGCAAGGCAGTGCCAATTAGGAATAGGAAGAACTCAGCACATATTTTAACTGTTATATGGCAGTGACAATATATAGGAAAACGGATTTGGTTTTCTTCAAAAAGTAGGAATTTACATTCCTATGTGATTTTGGTCATTGAAATTGGACCGACTCAGGAATTGACTGGGTGGGTAACGTTGTTCTAGACACCTTGACCTGTGGACTTATAAACGATACAAAAATGCCCTCAGAGAAATGTTTAATAGTGCTTGGGTGCTAAAGTCAAATGGCTTGGATTTACTCTGGACTCTCATCCTTATTAACTGTGTGACTTTAGACAAGTTATGTGACTACTCTATCTCCCAGTTTTCTTATCCCTATACAATTTTGAGCATTCTATGGGAGGAAGGTGGTTTTTGCTTTGTTAAAACATTGATAAATGGGGCTGGGGATGTGGCTCAAGCGGTAGCGCGCTCGCCTGGCATGCGTGTGGCCCGGGTTCGATCCTCAGCACCACATGCAAACAAAGATGTTGTGTCCGCCGAGAACTAAAAAATAAATATTAAAAAAAACTAAAAAAAAAAAAAAACCATTGATAAGTATTAGAGTGATGGCAAAGAGTTGGCCAAGTAGAACCATGAAATATCTAAATGAAAGATTCTATGTGAGTAAAACTAAAAGCAAATTTTTAAAAATTAAAGTAAATTAAAAGTAACCCAGTACTGAAGAAAAATAGACTATGATACATAGTTTATCACATACCCAGTTTGGCTCTAAAACTAGGTGGAGTAGTTTCATGGTGATAAAGAGTTGAAGTTTCAGGGTAAGGTTGACTTGGGTTCACATTCAAGCCCTGCTTTGCCTGGGGAAAATTATACCTACTTAGACTTCAGTTATTCTATTTGAAAGTGGGAATAATAATACCATATAGAATGGTTTGGGGATTAAATGAGATAATGCATGCAAAATTGTAATTTTGTGCATGGCATAGACAACAAAATCCTTTTAGCTAAAAGACAAGGTAGAATATAATTTGCCTCTGCTAAATAATTCCATTATTGGCATATAAAAGTGCTTGAAACTTTTAGCATTGGAATTACTTTTTTGGGTATAAAATGAGGTTACTAAAAACTCCCTGATAAACTTTGCTAGGTGGGCTGACATGATAAGATTTATTCTTCCATTACAATAAATTCATCTACTGATTAATTGCCACCTAGCATTTAACTCAGAATTTCTAAATGTCAGTCATGCAACTGTGTTGCTTTGGGTATGTTATGATGAATAAGACACAGTTCCTCTCTTCACGAGTCTTACAGGTTAGTGGGGTGTCTGGGGTGGGTGACAAGATAAATAGATAAGTCATCATAACATAAATCAGATGGCCAAAAGTGCTGTTATATAGGCATAAACAAATGCTATGGGACTTTGGATGATGTAGCCATGAGTTCTTGGGCACACTGTGAAAGGTTTCCAAGAGAAAATGACATTGGAGCTGGACCTTGAAGGAGTCATGGGATTTCTCAAGGCGTCATGGAGACAGTGAGTTCTGAGGCAAGAGTGAATGCTAGGTCAGAGAGTAGGTGGGAAGTGTACTGAATAGGGAAGGAAGATCTAGATTGTGGTTCATGTTGGTATGGAATTTGATTAGGACATAAATCTCTGACAAGTTATGTTGAGTATACCATGTTTGTTGGGAGAAGGTGGTTTTTTGCTTTGTTTTGTCAGCTTTTTCACTGCTGTGACCAAAAGACCTGACAAGAACAATTTTAGAGAAAGGAAACTTTATTTGGCTCATGATTTCAGAGGTCTCAGTCCATAGATGGCTGACTCCATTCTTCAGGACCTGAGGTGAGGCAGAACATCATGGCAGGATGTGTGGTGGAGCAAAGCATCTCAGGACTTAGCAAGAAGCAGAGAGAGATAGAATCCCCTTACCACAGACAAAATATATACCCCAAAGACATATCCACCAATGACTCATCTCCTTACTGCCTATAGTTATCATCCAGTTAATCCCTGTCAGAGTATTAATGCACTGATTAAGTTAAGGGTGTTGTAACTCAATCATTTCACCTGTAAGCTTTCTTGCATTGTCTCACACATGAGCTTTTGGGGGATACCTTATCTCTAAGCCATAACTTCCTTATAGTTTCTATTTAACCTCTTGGACTGATGGTTGATTTTATTCATGATTCCCTTTTATTAGTTTCTAAATCATTTAACAATGGGAAAAGAAAAATTTAAAAAGCTAGCTTTTTGTCCAGATGTTCTTCACCCTTTTGTGTATAACTGTACTACATATCTGGAAGTCTCAGGGTCAATGGTCAAGGTTATAGTAAAGGTTTTCCATCTGCTGTGCTTAACATGCTGCAGTAATTTTCTATTGTTTCTATAGCTGCCATATGTTATCCTTGATGTAATTGCTCCTGCAATTGCCTCTGGTTTCATAGTGATAATAACTCTTCGAATACATTAAAAATGATCTAAAACATAAAGTGAAATATGGGATGTTAGGTAACTAAGCCACCACAAGTAGGTGTCTGCTGTTAGATTCCCAAGGTGTAAGGAGTTTGGAAACACAGAATCAGAATTCTAGAGCATTGAGATCATCTAGTTCAACCTTCACCTGGGGAGCAAAAGTCATGTGGCCTGCCCAGTGTCACAGCAAAGACTCCTCTTCACACTGAAACTCTACCAAAGTTCATAATTCCTTCCTACTTTTATTTTTGTTTTCCTTTCTTCAGTCAACAAGTCTACATGAGGCACCTAATATGTGCCACCTATACTTTTAGTCCTTGGAATGATGCATTCCCTGGCCTTGGAATCCAGAACCAAATACCTTGGAATCAAATACCTAAGTTTGTGTTCCTTGAATGAATCCCTTAAACTCTCTGAGACTTTTCTCACATTTCTCAATATGGGTATCCTATCTTCTTTTTACGAAGAGATTATTATTTGTTCACTCATTCATTTATTAAATCTCTGTGGAGTGTGTATGTCATGAACTGAGCTAGTCCTAGGAATACAATCATGAGCAAAATCAGACATAGCTGCTGCCCTTTATAGTCTACTGATGGAGATAGAAGGCATATAAATAGACACAAAATACAAATAAAATTACAGTTGGCTTAAGTGCTAATTTAACAAATTGTATAATAATAATAATAATAATAATAATAATAATAATAATAATAACAATGTTATATACTGAATTATAATGAGATTAAGTAGGAAGGAAGGTGTGTGTAGAATTATCTTGAAGAATTTTGATCATGTCAGAAGATTTGAAAATGTTTCCCTAAGGAACAGAAAAAAGCTGAAGGAAGAATAGGAATTAACTGGCAAAATGGGGTATAGAAAAGAACACTTAGCACAGAGGGAGAAAGATGTGTAAAAGCTCTGGGATCCTTTTGACTTATGGGAGGTCTGTATGTCTGGAGCACAAAGGACAAAGGGTCAGAGTGTTGTGAGATACAGCAAGAGATTAGATGTCACAATAAAGACTTTGGTTTTGGGCTGTGGCTGTAGCTCAGTGGCAGAGCACTTGACTAGCATCTGTGAGGCACTGGGTTCAATCCTCAGCAGCACCATATACAAATAAATAAAATAAAAAGTATTAAAAAAAAGAATTTGGTTTTTATACTAAGAGAAATGGAAAATCATTACAGTATTTTAAGCTGGGATTGGGTAGGGACTATTGAAAGGTTAGGAACAACAGAGACTTGAGGAATGAAATAAATCTATGTGGGCAAATCTCTTTCATAGGTCACAAAACCCTCTACAATTGTCAGTCCCTCACTTGACCTATGTCAGGAAAATATCTATACCTTTTTGGACATAGAGAACATATTGGGAATGTTCTGAATTAAAATATAAGCCAAATATAAATATAAGAAAAAATATATACAAAATCTACTTTGGGAAACTTTGGAAGGCACCCCAGAGTCTGTCATCCAGAGGAGACAAAACAGAGCCTTGAGAAATTCTGATACATTAAGTCAGCACATGTATGAAGAAAGTATGAAGGAGGAGAACAAAACAGAGGTTTAAAAAAGAAAGAAAGAAAGAAAGAAAGAAAGAAAGAAAGAGAAGTCACCAAGAAAGGAACCCAAATGGCAGCTCTGGTTAGTGGAATAGCCACTTGTCACACAGCCAGCCTGGTGAAAGCAGCCCTGAGCGGCTGGGAAGATGGGCTTGGGCTGCAACAGAACAGCCAGCATCTTGCTTTACTTCCCTTGAGTTTGCCGGAGTGGCATGAATTCCTCTTTTTCTTCCCTTTCTTTGCTTTCTGTCAGCCCTCTAAGAATCAGTATGATGTGGTTCCTATTTATTGGAGTCAGAGGGAAGGTCTCAGCAGGTATTTGAATGATTGCTTAATTGCCTTCTATTTTATTTATTGCTAATCCTTGAATTCTTACAGAAAGGGAACCACCATTTGACCCAGCTCTCCCTCTCCTCGGTCTATACCCAGAGGACTTAAAAATAGCACACTACAGGGACACAGCCACATCAATGTTTATAGCAGCACAATTCACAATAGCTAAACTGTGGAACCAACCTA